AATTTTGCATTATTTAATGCAGTTGCTAAGCTGTGGCTGCCCCATCCCTGGTTAAAGGGTTGGGCAGGCCCTGAGCTGCCTCATCCTGTGGAAGATGTCCCTGCTCTTGGCAGAGTTGTTGGAACTGGATGAGCTTTAAGATCCCTTCCAACTCAAACTATTCCATGTTTCTGTGGAGATCAGTTCACTGTTGTTGGACAGTAAATGTGGTGTTTTGGACCTCAGTTCTTGTTTGATCTGTTTTTTCCTGGAGCCAGTGCAAGCTTTCTCAGGAATGGCTGGCAGGCAGAGGTACTCTGAGCAATTTGTACTGGAATGATTTGTGTTGGGAAGATTCTGCTCCCCTGTCCTGCTGGTGAACATCATCCTCCTGTACCTTCCATGTCACGAGCACAGGGGACACAGGAGCAGTCCTGAGTTCAGTGGTGCCTTACCCTGCAGTCTGAGTGCCCCAGCTGTGCATTCCTTTATCTACAGCTCGGGTGTTTGCTGTACAGAGAATGCTGATGTGATTTCTGTATAGTTATTGCCAGTTAAAACACATACTGCACATTTGGACAGCTGAAATACTGCACAAAATTTATGTATTCCCAGGCCACCACAGCCCTTCTGAGCAAAGACACTGCTGGGGCTGAAAAATGTGAGAGGAGATCAAAGCTGGGCACTAAAATTTGTGGGGATGCTTGAGGAAGGAAAAAATGCTATAGAATGTAGGTTTATTAGTTGAAAATTTCAAGAGCTCGGTGTAATCTCTATGTTCTAAGCAGGTGTGACCAGTTAGATTCAGCTCTGAATGAAGCAAGTGCTCACATAAAAGCCCTTGAAAATAAGAATAACCAGCTAGAAAAGCAAGTGGTAAGTATCTGTTCTTAAATCAAGTTGCTTTTTAAGTAAAAGGGTAAAAGAATGAACTTTTTCATTAATAAGTTGGCCAGTGCTTCCATACTTTTTTTTTGTTACTTTTAACCTTTCCCTCAATATATAACATGAGCCCACATGCTACACAGTGACTTTCCTACCTGAGTTTCTTAGGATTCCCTGCTTGAACCATCATCACTGTTGCTCATGAACTTTTTTCCAAATTAGCAGGGATCAAAGTCTAAGAGTGAAATACTTCAAATTTTCTTTATTTATTTATTTTATTTTAATTACTTTCTTATTAGATCAGTGATAAAAGAAATCTCACTTATGCTGGGACAAAAATACTCTCTTTAGGTATATTTGCAGTTTTTCTAGCTGGGCCAGACCTGTTTGTTGTGCATAAATTAATGCATAGCTGCATTAATTATTAGTCAAATTAATTAATTATTATTCAACTAATTATTATTAGTTAAAACTCAGGACACTTTGTCATGACAGTTGAACTTAGTCTCTGCAAGTGTCTAATTCTGATGACAAATTCCAGCTTCTTTAGGCATTTGTCTGTGCTGGGAAGTAAGTCAGTCAGATGGATTGGAGACCTCACCTCTAGATACTTAAAATCCTATAAAATAAATACATTTTGGATGGGTTTAATCTTCATCTTCATTCTTTCCAAGTCACAGAAATGAGCAAAAATCTTGTTTAGTTCACGTACACCTGTGCCGTTGTTTTCTGTGCGGGCGATTTTAAGATAATTATTGAAATTTAAATAATCTTAGAAATAATGAATGTCCCAGGGAAAAAGAACGTTTCCAACACTCTGGAGGGTGCTTTGTGTCCTGCAGGCAGATTGGAGGGAGCGATTCTGTGCCCTCAGCGACAGCTCCAGGGCCCTGCAGGAGCGGCTGGAGGAGACGCGCGCCAGCCACAAGGAGAAGGACAACGCCATCAGCCGCCTGCAGTCCCGCCTCAGGGAGCTCCAGGAGGCCTTGGAGAAGGCCTACAAGTTATCTGACAATAAAAACACCAGGCTCCAGGAAGAAAACAAAATGTTTCAAAATGTGAGTAAGGAAATGGGCAATGGTGTTGGCAGGAAGAATACTCGGAGTTTACAGCTGGGAAGTCTTAAAGCACAACAAGAAAACAGAAATTCCTCAGCTGACTCTTTACTGGGCTGGGTGTTGGAGGGCACTGTGGACCTAAAAATACTTAAAACCAATTATTTAAGGCAGCAGGTGTCTACTTGATAAGCTAACCTTTGCAGCAGTCTGTCTCAGGAATTTTATTACTCTAGGTTGAAGATATAACTTAGATATGAAATTTAGAAAGTATATATAAGATATGAAATTTAGAAAGTAATTTTTCCTCTCTTAAGCTTGAGATGGACCAAACTTTTCATACCTCATCCCAACTTGCTAAAACTGTTCACTGTGCATGATTTTAGTCTGAATCCAAGGAATTGCTCCTCTGATTCTTTAGGAAGAGCTTTATGGAATGTTTGAATGGACTGGCAGAATGGGTGCTAGCTGGGAAAGCTACTTCATACTTTAACTTCTTTTTTACAATTGAAATTTCAGAAGAAAAATCCACTTTTAAAGTCACTGAGGAATCTAACTGGTTCATTCATTCAGTTTCTTTAGAGACAAATAATTTGAAAATTAGAAATACATTGTATAAGTAGCTCTGTCTCCTCTTGTCCTGTCTATAACTTTTTGTTCCAATTGGAAGATGATAAAAAGAACTTAACAAATACTATTAAAGTACATTTTGTATCCCCTGTAGAGCTTCTGCATGTGTTAGCCAAGCTGTTGAGATGATTTTACAGCAGCCAACAGAACTGTTAATTGACTGTGGTCTCACTGTGGGCTGGTGTTCTTTTGTTTTGTTTTAGCTTTTAGGAGAATATGAATCCCTTGGAAAAGAACACGAAAGAGTAAAGGTAGGCACACAGTGGATAATTAAAAACCCAAACATGCAAACTTTGTGATAATATTCCATGGAGTTAGCTGAATTAACTTAAGTATTTTGAAAAAGCTCAAACAGAAAGATCCATGTTTATCTTTACTGATCACTTTCTTCTTCAGAGTCCTGGAGGGAAAAGGAAGGAAACTGGAATTTGTTATTTTCCAGTCATAGGCAGCAAAAATACTGCAAAGTCAAAGCTGAAGAAATTTAATGGACCCTTTGAACTAGGAAGGTGTAATTGATGTGTTGTTTCCAAGACTGATGTGGAGTTACTTGGGTTTTATTTAATGCACTTCTGCAGTTTCTGGACTTTTTACATTTTTCTTTGTGTCCTCGTAGGATACATTAAATACAACTGAAAACAAATTGCTTGATGCAAACACAGAGATTTCTGATTTGAAAAGGTAACTGTGAAACTTATTATTGTTTTAACAATATGAAATACCAACTGTGGGCTAAATGTCTGCTCCCAGAGTGTGAGGGCTGGAGATCTTTCAAGTTTAATCACATTTTATGAAGCATTTCATGTTGCTTCATGCTACAAACTAAAAATCTCATTAATTTAGGATATGCATTTTTTTTCTACTTCTCTCCTTCCTCAGCAGTGTTGTCTGGTCCTGTCTTTCTGGCCAGATTACCTGATTTATTTAACTTCAAATTCAAATACATATTTATATCCACATTTAGATAGAGATGCATAGACAGAAATGCAGCAGTTGCTCTTGTTCTCCTGCTTCATCCAGAATATCTGAATAAAATGAGCTAAACTCCTAAGAAATGTGATGTTTCTTTTATGCTATTTAAATCATCTCCTAATGCATCTTTTTAAGGACAATTTTAAAACTTGAAGCTCAGCTCAAGCAGGTGGAACATGAAAATGCCCTGAAACTTCGCCATATAAGTGAAAATCGTTTCACCAGAACCTCTTGTGCCAAGTAAGTGACCATTGAGACATGAAAACAATGTGTTTTAGAATAGCTTTTAACATGTTTTGGCTAAAAATGGATCAAGATGAGGTCAGTCCATGGGCTGAACTGGATTAAACACATGGGATGTAATCCAGAGATTGGATGTGCCAAGAAATTATTAAATCCAACTGAATTCTCTGCTGATGTGTCTGTGCCTTGGCCAGCTGTCCCTGCTCTTCCCAAAAGTCTGAACTGCTCAGCTGAATTCCCAACTCCACAAAGATCTTGGGAATTCCATCTGATAGTCCAGTTAGGCACTGGAGCTTTTCCTTGTCATTGCTTTCATTGGCTGATTCCTGCTCAGTGTGGTTCTAAACAGAGTTTGTGCAGGTAACCTGAGAGGAGAGGGGCAGCTCAGTCAGAATGAACACTCTGCTCTGAATTGGGATTTCTGTTAAAGAAATTCAAGTCGATCTGTGCTCTGCTTTTGTTTGTTTGAGGGGTTTTTATTACATTTTAAAGGCCTGAGAAGTTTTGTCCCCCTCTGGTTTTTGTTGCTCAGTTCTGGCCTGTTCAGTGTCTCTCCCATCTCAGCACTGATGCTGTGGAGCCCAAAATGACAATTAATGTGGTTTGGGGATGTCCATTTGGGGTGTATTGGGTTCAGATGTCTCAGAAAAGCTGATATATTACAGGGCCAGACTACACAGCTACATAGGAAAACAGAAAGGAAAAAAAGGATATAATTGTTCAGCATTTACATGTTCATACCCCTTTTACAATGTGAATGTTTGTAGGCTTCACCTTTTCAGAGTATATTGCCCTGAAATAGTTGTTAAAAATTTGTAGGACAAGTAGATTTAGTTAACAAAATTAACTAAACAGGGGTTTTGATTTTTTTTAATCATTCTTCTCCAAGACCCCAGTGAAATGATTTTGTTTTGGAGAATGAAGTATGTTTATGACACATTAAAGGAAATGTAGAAATGAGGCTTTTGAGTTTCAAATATGAATTCTACCAGACTGCCTTCTCCTAAGCCTCTTCTTCCTATAGTACATTACATTTGTGTCATGTATTGGTGTATATATGGTGTATTGGGGAGATTTGAATTTTGATGATTATGAAGACAGAAATATTTATGTATTAATATATTAAAGGGACAGATTTCTGTTGAGAGTTCTTTTAATATTTATGAACCAGACCTGTCAACAATGAGCAGAAAAAGGAAGGCCTGGACATGGCAGCCCATGTTCACCAGGGAGGGGGATGCAGGAGCCAGTGTGGATTTAGGAGTTAATCTGTCCCTAACTGATCCCACAGGCTCAAGGAAAGCTCATTCCAACTGAGTGCCCAGCAGGAAAGATTTACAGAATTGTGCCTATAGTTCATAGCTTGGGTAAACAAGACCCTTTTTTCCTAATTACCTGCTTTCCTGTCTATAGAAATCACATTTTTTCTTTTGCTATCTCAAGATAATGATCTACTAATTGATACTTAGTTGATATTTATCCCTCTCAGGTCACCAACACCGGCTTTTTCTTGGTTTTTTTTTGTTTTTTCTTTTTTATTTTTCTAATAATTGTTGTCCAGAGGAAAGCTGGGATCAGATGCTCTGAAGCACTGCAGTAATCTCCACCAAATGTTTTCATTTAATTAGTTGAGATCTACTTGCAACCCAAACCTGGGTCTGAGTAAGCAGCATTAAATTACACGAAGATCTTTGTGGAGCTCTGCATTCTGAGCATATTGTGTAATTTAGACTGAAACCTCAACATATGGCTTTTTTTCCCCCCAAATATTCTATTTTTACCTTTCAAGCATGTTTTTAAAAGCAGTTACTTTTCCCACAGTATTTACAAGTTTATTGTATATTTGTTTCTGTTTACTGGAATAAATGACAGGTTTTTCTTAAAAAACAAAACAGAAACAAACATAAACCCCCCTCCCAAACTCCAAAGCCTTTAATAATTTTGAAGCTTTTTATTCCCACAGCAAGTTGGGAACTCCTGATGTCAGCAGGAGGAAGTGGTTGATACCAGGAGCTGAATATTCCATTTTCACTGGGCAGCCCTTGGAGGGCCAGGAGAGCCCCAAAGACAACAGGCTGGAAGAAACCTATATTCCTTCTAGGTGAGTTGGTTTCCTGAACTAAACTAAAATCTGAACTAAATTTCTCCATGTTTTTTGTTTATTCTGTTCCTGTTTGGGTGCATGAAATAAAATAAAAAACTTGATTTATTTTTTTTTTTTCCTTCCACACCTCACGTTATTCAAGGCACCATTCTCCTCCTGAGAAAGACTCCTCACAGGAAGACTCTTCAAGCAACACAATAGGGAAGAAAGAAAATGAGATGGCAGAAGCACCAATTCTAAAAGCCTTTAAAGAACTTGAAGAAGGAAAAATTCTTAAAGATTGGGGTACACAGACAGAAAAAGAAGATGCACCAGCTAGTAACTCTTATTTTTATATTCCTGAACATGTCTTTACTGGCTTTTCTCTGTTTGCATGTCTTTTGGCTTTGGTATTCTCAGCATTCAAGTCCACCAGGATTCAATTGTAGGGATAAAAGAGGTTTTGGCATGCAAAACTTGTGGGTTTTTCCTAAGAAAATTCAAAGTTGGATATCTTAGTGATTTGTTTAGAATAGGGGGATGCTGAGGTTGTGGTTAGGTCTCAAGCTGAGGACTAGTTAATGTCCCCTTGGCTAAGAATATCAGTATTTATAAACAGTTAATGGAGTCCTAACAAGGTCTGGCTGCTGTAAATCCATTCCAGTTTCCATGGTGTTGATGGGAATGGAGCTGAGCAACTGGGACTGCCCTGAGCTGTAACAATGCTGGTTTAGGGAAAACGCTGAGTCTTTCTTAAAATCTTGTGTTCTGGGCCTCAGGCAGGTCCTTCAGCCTTTCCCAAAAGATGCTTTTGTCCTGATTTCCACTGTTTCTCTGTTAAACAGTGTTACTCAGCATAATTTCTCCCTCACACATTGCAGAGATCCTTTTTCATGAGTTAAATGAAACATGAATTTCATGTTCTGTGAGTAGGAAGAGAGACTTGAGCGGAACAGCAAAATAACGTTGATGTGAGGGATAAAAAGCTCAGTTCAGGGGAATATTTGTGAATTCTTGTGTTGAAAAAGATTGATTAACATAAGAACTTTTTTTTCCTTTTCATTAGAACCATCAGCTCGGCGTCAGACTGTGGGGTTTGTGGAACCTTCCTTGGCTGCAAACAGATCCCCAGAGAAAGGGAGAGACCAGCACAGACCCAAACGGTTCAGCTCCCCCTGTGGCCAGAGGTCATCGTCCCTTCCTCCTGCCAACAGGAAACCCAGCACTCCCAGTCAGTGCCTTGCTCAGCCTTGCTTTGTGTCACTCAGAAAGCAGAATCCAGTCATGAAAGGCTGCTCTAGAGGAGGGAAGAGTAGGGACAGGGTTTCTGCATTGTTCTGGCAGTCTGAAAAATTCATGTCTGTAATGACGGGATATGCGAGAGTTCTGAGTTTATTTTCATTTTTGCATGTTGTGATGCACTTCTCATCTAATGTAGATAAACATGTAGACAGCTTTGAAGAGCACTCTGAGCTGCAAGCACACGAGTGGGAGGCACTGCACTGGGGAGCCTGAGGTACATAAACAGACTTTGTCTTTTGCAGCAAGAAGAGAGATAATGTTGGCACCAGTGTCTGTGACATACAGCCCAAAACGATCTCCAAAGGAAAACCTCTCTCCTGGATTTAGCCATTTGCTCAGCAGAAATGAAAACACAGTGACAAGGTAGGAGTCTGCTGAATACAGTTGTGTTCTGATGATTTTTAGAGCTGCAGGATGTTTATCCAGGCTTAATGCTGCTGTTTCTTGTTCATTAAATGTCCTTGAAAATGAGTTGTGAAGATTTCTGAATATAAAGCTAAGTTGTGCTTTTTAAAACATGGCCAAGAAAATCTAGAATGATTGAACAGGATTTAGAAGGCTTAGTCTTTAAAAAAAAAATTGTTTATTCACCCAAAAGGTGAAAAAGTAGAAAAGAACGTATTGCTTGATACATGACTTCTAACAAGTAATTGCTGTGTGCTTCCTCCTCTGTAGGTTTGATATACTTCTAGATGACCTGGAAACTGGTGCTACTTCTACTTTACAGCACAATAATCCAAGGAAAAGGCTCCAGTTTCAGTCACTAGATGATGCAGAAGGTAATCTGTCAAAGTGGAGGGAAACTGTTCTTTGTTTTTGTACCATGATTCTTTCCACAGTGGTAGTGGCTGCCTAACTAGAAAGCTGACTCTTTACTCTGTGAAGCCCAACTTTTAAAAATCCTCTAAATCTTGCCTTATTCCTGTAGACAGAGAAATCCTGTCCATAAAATATTTTATTTTTATGTATATGTCTGTGTGCACAAACACACTGGAACAAGAGAAATAATTAAATTGAGAAAGAAGGGCAATACATTTCCCCGTGCTTAACTCACTTATCCAATGCATATCTTAGTGGGGTCTATATTAAGATGTACACACTGAGTCATACTAATAAAATCCTATTACTAAACTTTGCATTATGGACAGCAAAGAGTAAGTAATAAAACCAGTTGTTTCAGATTTTTTGAAATTATTGAAATGGTTGATCTTTTCTCACCATGTTCTGCTTTTTGGTTTTATCCATGCTCTTATTCAGACTGGTGTTTGCATGACAACCAGTCAGCTTGGTGATATTTAGAAATGTACCAGTAAAAGTAATTCCTAATTAGTACAACACAGGAACCTGGTTGTTAACCAAAAAATGTGCTGTGTTTCAAAGATCCCTTGAAAGATGACCCATACAAATGTTTTGCATTCCTTTGGGGAGCTGTTCAAGGCAAGGACTGAGGCTTTGCTCTTCCCTCTCCTCGGTTCATGCACTGCCAAAACCACACTGCTTGTGCTGCCATTGGTTTCTTTTTCTGTCCTGTGTAACAATTTCCCAGGTAATCACAAAATAAATAGAACTGTTCAACTGTTGTGTTGGTAGGAAGGCAGCATTCAGGTGTCAGGCAGAGCCCCTGTACTGAACCTGTCAGTAATGGAATGAAGAAAGCAGCAGCAGCCTGGGAGGAGAGGAGCCAGAGACACGAGGCAGTGCAGTCACCTTGTGAGGAAGACTTCAAGTACACAGCAAGGATTCCAACTCTGGCTGAAACTGAGAGGCTTTTTGATGAGCTGACTCACGAAAAGCAACAGGCAAAGATTATTTCTGTTTTCAAGTTGTGACAAATAGTAATTGTTCTGTGAGAGGTGAGGGATGGAGCCTTTTATCCATGGAAATTCATCCTCAACCTCAGTGTCACATCAGGAATGTGCCATTGTCCTTCCCTGTCCCTAAATCCCTTAGAGGAGAGTCCCTGTAACAAGCCCAGTGTGGGTGGGGGTTGGCACAGTATTCTGGTGCTAGAGAACAAAACTCTCCATGTAGCTGTAATCCACACACCTCAGCTCTCCTTCTGTGAGAGGACTTAGCAAGGCTCATATTGGCTCTTGAAACTAATTTACAGCTGAAGTGTTTTCTGTTATTAGATTGAGGCTGCACTCAGCCGAATCCCTTGTTCTGGTGGAAGAATGACCTTGCAAGCAAGACTAAATCAGGTGAAAAAGCCTCTCTGAATTACTGTTCTCTTCTGTTCTTCCACAATTGAGAATACATAATGTAGAGGAAACATCCTCTGGGTAGTGAGTGTGATTACTGTGGGAATTTTCATGTTAGAGTTTTTATATTGTTTAATGTCTTCTATTTTTTGTACATGGGATGCATTTTGCCAAATTACTGCCAGAATAGTGCTAAAACTGAGAGGGAGATAAAGGCAATGCATTAACAAAATGCAGTGACTATCAAATAGATCCCTGAAGCTGCAGAGAGGATGTTGTGCTGTAGGGGAAATTGAAAAGTTTGGTTGGATACTGTCTCCTTGAAAGTACGGAAAAAGAAGGCAAAAATAACGGGTTTAGGTGGAATACAGGGAGGTGCTTTCTGTGGAAAACTCTGCAGACTCTTTTAATAAAAACAAGTCTCAAAGTTGTCTTATAGAGGTCTCTGCAAAGCCTTCAACATCAGCATTTCCTGAATTGTGATCCCAGGATGTGTTATCAGTTTATCAATTTGAAATTAAAAGTGCATTCCAGTAAATCAATACTGCTACTTACTACGGTGATCAACTGGTTCCTAAATATGCCTAATATTCCTAAATTTTCTAAATATACCTAATATTCAGCCTGTCTTAATTCTTGTCAGGTTTCTCTCATGGAGTTTTGTAAGTCATATGTTAAAAAAGACAAAAAATACATAAAAATAACATGACAAGTTTGTGGGTCTGGCTCTGGTTTTTGGGTGATAACAATGCAGCTAAGGCCTCAAAAAAGATAGCAGGAATATAGGAATGATAGCAGTTTCCTAATTTTAGAAGGATCATTTGATTTCATGATATATTATTAATGCTTTTTGTTCTTTCTTTTAACTCCTCCTTTTAGGAAGCCCTGGAAGATCGTTTGGAAAGAATTAACAGAGATTTGGGGTTAATACGAATGACTCTGAAAAGATTTCATGTTTTGAGAACTTCTGCAAATCTTTGACAGTTCTCTCTTGACTGCAAATATACTTTTTTTTTGCACTAATATATAATGATGCACTCAGTAAATGCAAATTGTTTTGTATTTTTATAAACCCTGAAATGTAGTTTTGCAACCATGTTACCCTTTACAAACAGCAATATTTTGTACTTCAAACAGCCACCTCTATTTTAAATGTATTTTGTTACACCTGAGAAATCAATGTTTATCCTGTATTGTAATATTTTTAGAAATATTAATTATTTTTAAATAGTGATATTCAATTTATAAGAAACGAAAAGGCAGCTTGTTTTCAGGAAAAAAAAATGGTAGTATTACCCTTTTGCACTTGGTTTTCCTCCACTATTTTATAAATATTTATGGTGTGATGTAAATATTAGCCAAGAGGAGATTTTGGACTTTAATACAAAAAGCAACATGAGTTTACCTGTGTTAAAGGGAACCACTGTTGTGTGGTAAATCCTTTTAATTGAAACCTTTTCCATGGGTGTTTCTCATTGGGGCAGAACTGTGAGCAATACTTGCACTGTGTCTGGCTGGGGCAGGAAAATCCGTGTGGGATGGATGTGAGGGCTCCCAGCAGTGCCAGAGAGGGGATGGTGATACTGAATGCCAGCATTCCCCTGGCAGCAGCTCCAGCTGGCACTCCAGGACTGCAGCTCCTTCCCTGAACTTACTGGGTCCCTGTGCCAGTGTTCTGCTCGTGTACATTTCATGTATTTGTGAACATAAATTCATTTTTCTTGGTGGAAAAAAAATGCATATTTGCCAGTTGACATATTGTTGCGTTGCTGTCCAACATTGATATTTTGGTTTGTATTTTAATATTAAATAAATGTTTAATTAGATTTTTTCCTCCTGCCCAAGTACAGTAATAGGCTCTGGGATATTACATCAGAGATAATGTAGGTTTTAATCATATTGTGTGTTTCAAATTCTGTCCTTGTTCAAGATGTTTGGCCACCAATGATGTGATTACAGGGCCAGAATAGCTGTCGTAAAGGAAGCTTGAGAAGGTCTGATTCTAAAATTAGAGTGCTGTGGTTTAAGATATTTGATGAGGAATTGTACAACCCATGCATGGTCTTTTCAGAAATTCTGTAGTTTTTGCAGCCCTCTGGGTACTTCAGTGCAAGATCAGAGCTGGGGAGAAGTCAAGGATAGGAGTTTCTTGTTTTCTCCTTTACTCTGAAATGCAGAAATTGGGTCTGAATGCTTGGAGAGGACTTGCTCCAATGTATTCCCAGTCTCCACAAACAGATGTACAATTCTGATGGCATTCCATGTTCTCACTGGTGATTTTTACTTAGAAGGGGTGGAGGGGTGGAAAAAATAATCTTTTCTTCCCTGTATAACTCTATTCAGCTGCAGTTTTCCCACTATTCTGTTATTAACAGGTACAATTTTAAAGCATTCTTTCAGAAATAGCAGTCAGCCAGCAGGATTTTTCCAAGGAATCCATCACAGGAACAATTCATGAATCCAGTAATGGTCTTGTTTTCTTTCATCAGTGCTGCAGCAAAACCAAAGAATTTTCCTGACAGACATGAGAGGCAAGTAGGTAAATCAGCTCAGCTCTTTGACTGCCTCTCCTTGTAACCTCCCTTCATCTCCACTCCATTCTCTCCAGCACTATTCATATTCATGGACTCTTTTTTATTACATCCAGAAAACTGAATTGTGAGTCAGAATTTATTTTTTAATCAAAAGTCCTCCTCCATCTGTTGGAGCTCTTTAGGCTATTTCTGTTCTATTATAACACTGAAGGGAGGGGAAAAAGTGTTGCTTTGAGTAAACTTCTAGGCCAACCTTCTGAGATCTCTGTGTGACCTGTGCAGTGTGGTGCCTTTGGCCTGATTCATCCGAGGGACAGAGGCTCTGCAGTTCCAGATTAAATCAGTGGGAGGCCTGAATGCTCAGCGCTCCTGAAAATCACACCCGAAGCACCAAAAACTGGGACACACGGAGCTTCACTGCCTGCCGGCCCTGCCCTTTGCTGGACATTGTCCTTTTGTTTTTAATCCCCTTTCAACTTCCTCTTAACACCAGAAAATTGCCTTGTTCTCTCTTTGAGAACGCATAAGGATTTCCAGATAACCAGAGAGGCTTTTTCTTCCTCTGTGGAGGACTTTAGTCATCTTCCTCTCGTGTTCTCACCTGACCCCTCCCAGCTATGTTGGTGTTTATCGCCTTTCCAGATCTACAAGGTCCTGCCTGGAGCCCCAGGCTCTGCTCTGCCTCAGTCTGCCCTTGCAAGACGCTCCCAAGCATACTTTTCTCTATGATAATAAACATTTCAACTCCTACAGCTCTGAGATTTGAACATTGGAAAATAAAATTTGTTTGTTCGCATCTCTAGAAAGCAAATTTAAAAAGTTGTAGCTTTGATAGGTTTAGGCTGTAATGTGAACTACAACTCAGTCTGGCAAAGCAGGGAGCAGTTACAAACAAACTGCGAGTACTTTGCAGAGAGGGGGGAAAAGGGCCGGCATGATGCATCCTGAATGAAAAACAACCGCAGTAAATTAACAAAGGTTTAAAAGGCCACGGTAAATTTCATTGCAGGGTCTTTTCCTGAGATTTCTGAGGTTCCTGCATGAAACGATCGCTCAACTTTTTGAGATTTTTATTGTTCCCGACTGAGCTTTACGGAGAGTGAAGCTCGAGGAGTCGCCAGCGCTGCTCTGAGGGCAGCTGAGGGCAGAGCGCGGGCTCGGTGAGCGCCGCTA